GGGAAAGGAAGTAAAAGATAAGATGGGGAAACACCTAAATCAGAGAACCCCCAACCAAGGATATCAAATGCCCAAGTTTCTAAACCGGCTTCTTCGAGCAATGGATAAGTGTATCTCCACTCTAAACAAGAACTGTTTACAAGAGTTTCAACTTACAAAAATACTAACTAACTAACTCAAGAAACCACAACATTATGATTAATGTACCTATCAAATCCGTGAAGAAGCACCACGGGACTTGTCTCGTTCCTCATCAGCGGTGTCACACAACTGCTCATAATTCTATCTTCCGTGAAACTTACCTACACATTCCACATTACATGACAATGAGAAAAAATTATCTACAGGTTACATTGCTTTCAACGTTTATACTCACTTGAAAGTAAGATTAATTAGCCTAAAAACTTGAACTTTGAAGTCAGTCAGTTCACAAATTGCAGGTTGCAGCTAGTTGTAAGAATCATACTTCCGATTAAAAAGATATGGAATTACAGGTTGCATGGACTAAATTTTACTTGTACGGGAAGCCTCTCGATTCTTGCGGCGAGCTTCAGAGCAAACTTGTCTTTGATTCTCTCAACATCGCTCGGTAGAAACGCCGGAAATTTCTCCGCCGTCACTTTGAACTGCCTTTTACATTCCACCTTGAAAATCGGCCGAGAAACCGCCGTTGAGAGCATTGTGGAAAACGACGACGCGTCTCTCTCTGTAACTCTGTTTCACTTCGCACTTGGTACTTGATAGAGAAGATAGGACACGTGGCAAGGAAGACTATCAAAGCAAAGGAACCAAAACGTTGTCGTTTAGTTGGACATAGCATCAAGAAGAATCACAGCCACACAACTAAAAAAACAGAGAATACACAATGTAATAGCTTCATTTTGTGTTTCCAACACTGAACTTAAGAAGCAAAAAACACACCAAATCAATCTACAAGATTCCCATCGATTTCATAGAACAAACGGTTAGCTTTTTCGCTAAGTATCTCAGCTCCAAGAATAAGCTTCTTGCAATCTTCATGCCGACGAATCGGCTTAAACTCTCTCAGCTTCACATGAGGGTCTTTAACATCAATGTCATTGTATACCTCTCTTGCAGGTAGAACATGCTTCTCCCAAAAATCAACAAGTGCCGGTTTCATTTCCTCCCAATACTCCGTATCTCGCCAAACTCTAAAGAGACTGCTTCCGTTGCGAGTCCAACAATACAAATCCAACCAATCTGTATTAACAATCTCCATTAAACCTTGAACTTGTGGAACACAATGCCAAGGAAGCTTCTTCCACGGACGCGCTTTCCCCTTATTATCAAACGGACATTTTACTTCTAACACGCCGGTTGAAGTAACTCCATCTTTAACTCCATCGATCAATCCATCAGGGGAAGCTCCTAACCAGTTATCTTCAGTGTTTTCGCCGTTTTTATAAACAACGAATTCAGGCATGAGGATTTCGTTCCCCGTTAACTCGGTGTATCTCGCGAGTGCTTCAACCTCATTATCAATGTCCCAAACCGTGGCTCGGCTTCCAGAGAATTGCTTATCTACACCTACTTTCTCTAACCAAAGCTTGTGTCTACCCTCAGGCCAAAAACCAATAGCACGCGAGAAATTACTGGCGGTTAATCGATTCTTTCTCAAATCTTGCCAATCCTTGCGCCAATGTTGAGTTGCTTCTTTCTTTGAAACTATACCAATCATTTCAGAAGTTACCTTAGAGTCAGCCTCTGGTTCGCTACACGGAATGTGCAACAAACGACGACAGTAAGCAAGATCATCACTGCGAAGAATAATCAGAAACAAGAATCAAAATACAATCTTTTCCCCAAATTACTTCTATTCGAAAATCGATTTGGGTATTGGTAATTAACGAACAAGCAAAATCAAAATCGAAATCGAATCCGGATTTCGTGAGATTTCTCTTACAAAACCCTGAACTAGAACAAACGTAATCAGACAGAGACGAAACTGACCGTGCACGCTTGTTAAAGGTACGACGAAGCATATCGGCGACGGCTCACCGGCGGTGAAAAGACGAGATTTTTAAGGGTTTTAAGAAAGTGACTCTCTGAAATGAAACTCATCTCAAACATTATAGGTCGGACTCGGATAAGCCGTACTTCGGTTATTCGGTTCGGTCTCAGATACTTCGGTTTGGGTTCGATTTATCGGTTAGTTTCGGTATATCAATTACAAAGTTAAATTTGTTTCGGGTTTTGGGTTGGTTCAGTTTTTAAAATCTGGTTTGGAGTCGGTTCGGTTCGGTTTATGTGCCTCTTCTGTAAAACCCTTCTTCCATTGAAGCTTCTTCTCTTTGTCGGAAAATCTCTTTCTCAATTTAGTCTCTGCTTAGTTGTTTTTCCGGCTGCCACAAGATCGGGAAACAATTTCATGCGGTTTTTTCCGGTTCCATTACTCTCACATGTGAGAGGATTGATTCGAAGAGGACACGCTTCGCGATTGTACGTGGTTCCTGCACTTGTCTCGACAAAACCTACAATCTCACACTCGGAGCAAGTGAAAGAAGGTAACTTTGATGGTAATGCATTGGAGCTAAATGAAATTGGTGTTCTTCGAGTATTAACAAGTATGAGAGATGATCCTTATCTTGGTTTGTCGTTTCTGAAACGAATTGAAGGAAATGGAGCTTTGCCTAGTGTCAAAGCTTATGCAGCTGTGATTAGAATCGTTTGTAGTTGGGGTTTGGATCGTAAATTGAATTCATTTCTTGTGGAACTCGTTAGAAAAGGAGATGAGGGACGTGGTTTCAGTGTCGGGGAATTGTTAAATGCCATTGGAGAAGCTGAAGAGGATGGAAAGTTGTCGTATTTGTTGTTGAGTCGAGTCTCTAGTGCATTGATTAAAGCCTATGGTAATCTTCAAATGTTTGACCAAGTGATCGGTATGTTTTGGGAATTAGAGCGGCTGGGTTCGGATGTTGATGCGCATAGTTATGTGATTGTGGCTCATGCATTGCATAGGAATGGGGATATAGGATTAGAGAAGTTTCTTGGTAGACTGTTAAACTCGGAGACGAGGAATCCTTGCGCGTTTTATATGACTTTCATTGAAGGACTCTGTGGGATACAGATGACTAATAAAGCTTATCTTCTACTCCAAGCACTAAGGGATGCAAATATTCTGGTGGAGAATAGTGATCTTGCAATCGTATATCGCAAAGTGGTCTGGGGTTTTTGTAATGAGATGAAAGTAGAAGATGCTGAAAGCGTTGTTCTTGACATGGAGAAATGTGGAATTGATCCGGATGTGTATGTTTACTCAGCGATAATTGAAGGACATCGGAAGAATAAGAATGTACCTAAGGCTTTGGATTTTTTTGATCAAATGGTGCAGAAAAAAAGAAGAATAAACTGTGTGATTGTAAGCTCAATCCTTCAGTGTTGTTGTCAGATGGGCAAGTTCTCGGAAGCTTATGATCTGTTTCAAGATTTTAGAGACATGAACATTTCTCTTGATCGGGTTTGCTACAATGTTGCATTTGGTGCTTTAGGAAAGCTTGGCAAAGTAGAAGAAGCTATTGAATTGTTCCGAGAAATGAAAGGTAAAGGAATATCTGCTGATGTCGTCAACTACACGACCTTGATAGGTGGTTGCTGTCTACAAGGTAAATGTTCTGATGCCTTTGATTTGATGATTGAAATGGAAGGAACAGGTGAAACACCTGATATTGTTATATATAACGTACTTGCCAGTGGATTAGCTAAGAATGGTCTTGCAGAAGAGGCATTCGAAACTCTAAAACTAATGGAAGCTCGGGGTGTAAAGCCCACGTCTGTTACACACAACATGGTCATGGAAGGCCTGATTGTTGCAGGTAAAATAGACGAGGCTGAAGCTTTCTATGAGAGTTTGGAAAATAGTTCTTGGGAAAATGATGCAAGTATGGTAAAAGGATATTGTGAAGCTGGCCGTCTTGATCAGGCCTTTGAACGATTCATTAGACTGGAATTCCCTCTGCCCAAGAATGTGTATTCCACACTATTCACTAGACTTTGTGCCGAGAAGGATTATATCAGCAAAGCTCAAGACTTGCTGGAAAGAATGTGGGAACTTGGAGTCGAACTTGACAAGAGCATGTATGGAAAGTTAATTGGTGCTTGGTGTCGAGTTAATAATGTGAGAAAAGCCCGGCAGTTTATTGAGGTTTTAGTTGCTAAAGAGATTATCCCTGATTTGTTCACTTACACAATCATGATCAACACCTATTGCCGGTTAAACAAGCTGAAGCAAGCATATGCTCTTTTTCAAGACATGAAGAGGAAAGGAATCAAACCTGATGTGGTAACATACACAGTTTTGCTCAATAGCAATCCAATGTTGGATATGAAGAGAGAAATGAAAGCCTTTGATGTTAAACCAGACGTTGTCTACTACACAATCATGATCGACACATATTGTCGGTTAAACAACCAGAAGAAAGCCTATGCACTTTTCAGAGACATGAAGAGGAGAAAAATCATACCTGATGCGGTAACATACACAGTATTGCTCAATAACAATCCACAATTGGACATGAAGAGGGATATGGAAGCCTGTGATGTTAAACCAGACGTTTTCTACTACACAGTTTTGA